AAAAATAAAATAACTTCAATTAAAGGCCACTTACTTAAGCTCTTTTTGGCATCAGTAGACTATTTAATAGTACCAGACAAGAAATGGGATTGAGAGGAAGTCATGCAGCACAGGTCAACAGGCTGGGATTCAAACCTGTGAACGACTTGCTGAGGACTGAGGCCTCCATGCACCCCAGTGCTGCACCTTATCACTGTCTTTCAATACCTCATCAGCACATCATAAATAAACACCAGCATCCCCGCACCAAGACTCCATCAGAAGACGTACCCTCTTACTGGACCGTCTGTTCACCTCCCTGTATCCTGTGCCTGGTGTTTGGATCCCCCTGCCAGACCATGAAAGTGCTTTAAAATACTGCTTCCTTAACTAACACAACGATCAATTCATGATACTTTCTCATCCATTATTTGGATACCAATTATATAATGTCAAAGTACATGAGAGGGCAGTTGAAGAATTTATGGATTTGATGCCATGATCGGAGACTGTCAGACACTAATATCTGTGATCGGCGCTCAGCTCGATGGGTGACTTCTTTCAACTAAACAATTTTTCATTATTGAGATTAAGTTGAACCTCATTCTTAAGTCTTTTGTGGCTTACTTATACCAAAATCGGTGATAGCAATATTCTTATCCTCTTTAGTCTTTAGTAATGGAAAAGTTTATGTGTGTATAATGAGTGCAATATTTGGAAATGTTAGGTGCAGGCTGGTGGTAATGTTCTCGGTAATGAAAGTGGGCTGACCCAGTAAGTGTTTTTGAGGAGGACCTTAGCAATGTCCAGTTGTACATTTAGAATGCATTAAAATGCTGTTGTTATAACAAATGGTCTAATAGCAAGATTCAATGTCCTATTACTGATTTGGCTCTGTCACCCTGTTTGTGTGTCTGCCTATGTGGCCAGATAGATTATCTTACCCTGTGATTCATCTGCTTCAACAGCAGCAAGCCAAAGCCCTGTTATTTATTAAAGGGATGGATCCCTTTCCTTTCTTTACTTCACCTGCAAACAGAAAGAAAACTGAACACTGAGTCATTCTAACAGCCTTGATTTGGCTGTAACTAGATCACAGGCTGCTCGTGTAACTGGGGTATTTTAGGAATTTGTTTTCCTCCAAAGTGAAAAAGCCACAGTAATTTTCAGGATGTTATCTCTGTCATGTCATCTTAAACACTTAAGATAAACAAATTACTCTCGAGCGGTGAACATTATGTTGATTGCCTTTTAAAATTTGGGTAATGTAGCAGCAGAATAACCTCAATTTCTGATAGTAAAAGATATTTACATGCTCAAATAAATTTATAGTAATCTAAATTTATATCGACCCCACCTTCTCCTCCTACACATCCAACGAAACCAGCAGCCTTTGCAGTCCTGAAAGCATTCTTTAAGGGTTGTAATTTATAGGGGCAAAAGCAGTCCTCTGCCCTTGCAGTTCGGGGAGAAAGAGGAGAAAGAAATGGCAGTATGTTGTAGGGATGGATGTTAATCACAGTCTTACATGTATTATTGAAAAAAAAAAACAGGCAATTTAGGCCCAAGAAGCTTTCCTAACATATTTGAATCCTAATGGAACAAGATTTGCTAACACATCCAAAGAATATAGTCATTCACCTGAGACATGGAATGGCAGTATTGGAGAAATGTTTTTTTTTGGCCAGGCAGCTCATACCACTGGTTAACTTCTATACTATCTTGAGTGGAATTGTATATTTTGCAAGACAAAAAGTAACTGGTTCTGTTAGCTCTTTCCCTCTCATGGTTGTCTCTTCAAATGCCTGGGTTAACATTGTCTTTTAGGGTCCAGCATGTTTTGGGTGCTTTCTTTTCAAGTGATTAAACAACTTTGTCGTGCTGTCATCAGACTTGTGAGCCATGTCAAGGCAAACTTTGCAAATGAGTTTTGTATGTGCCTTGTCATTTGGTGAGAAACCAGACCAGTTCATATAATGGAAGTCAAGTTTTTTAATCACCTCCTCTGTTTGTCTTTTATCCATTGCTCTTCATGCGGCTACCGCTACACACAGACAAGGAGGAAGGAAGGTGTTACTATTCGTTTTATTGTTATGATTGGTCGGTCAGGTTGACTATGTAATATGTGAGTTGGGTTGGTGGATCGGCATAGAACTGCGATTAATAGAATTAGACCAAAACAATCTATATGCTGTTCTCCAGAGTTCCCCTACATATTCTAATCCTTCACAATCTAATATCATGTCAAACACCCGTAGTATGGCAGAGGCAGGTGCCACTCTCCAGTGGTCGAGTTGAACCAGTTCTGACGGAGGGCCTGGCTCTCAGCTTGTTGCAGTGGGAGGAGGCATGCATGGGCTAACACTTGCTATGGTTTGCAGATAAAGAGAAAATAGCGGGCTAGCTTCTCAGGGCTTACAGGGGGGTTTGAGTCCTGCAGCATTTCTAAATTTAATCCATAGTTATTAGCTCGATGAGCCATGGTTTGATGGTTTGTTCATTTCTGCAAAGAAGGGGGTTGTTATGCTTGACTGAGGCAATTCCAATGCATATTTCAAAAAGGCACAAAAGCACATGAACTTCCTGCGAAGGATGAGAGACCACCTGCCCCCACCCATCCTTACGACCTTCTACAGAAGCACCGTAAAGAGCGTTCTGACCAGCTGTCTCACTGTGTGGTGTAGAAGAAGGTGAAGAATTTTAAAATAGCAGAAAAGATCATCATGACTCCTCCTCCCTCAATAAAAGACATTTCATCCCTGTGCTGCGTATCCCGAGCCCATAACATCCTCAATTACCCCTCACACCCCCACCATGGACTGTTCTCCCTGCTGCCCTCTGAAAAGAAGCATCGCAGCATCTGATGGAGGACCAGCAGATTCCACAACAGCTTCTTCCCCACTGCCATTAGACAGCTGAACTGTTGAAAAAACTTTAAATCATGTCACAGACTCTGCATGACACTAACACCAAACCAAAACACTGCATAGTTGCACCATATATATGTAATGCTCTAAACTTCCACATCAATGAGTTTTTTGCACCATATTTTTCTCCCACACTATTTACATTTGATGACTGCTGCACATTCACACCGCAAGCAGCAGGAGCAGTAAAAATGCATGTGCTGCTTCATTTTTTGATGCTTGTACAATTTTAATTCTGACGCTGCTCCAGCTGCGCAGTTGAAAAGTGGGTCTGATGGGTGTTAGGCGGTAACCTGACAACAGCCAGATGCATGAGTGGAGCTGGGCGGAGCGAGACATGCATCTGGCTGTTGTCAGGTTAGTTAGGCGGAGCTACCCGATTCTTTCTTTGCCTGGAACAATGGCAGCTATATTTGTTGTTTGAAAAAAGCAGTTTTAATATGTTTTTAAATGAGAAAGTCCGCCTTAAAAATTTATCTGTGCAGTCAGGTCATCCAGATTACCATCCTGCCTTTAAATATTATTTCGCTGTCGAAGCACCGACATTGCATAATAGTGAAGAGTTAAAAGATAAACAATAAAATACTGTAAAGTGTTTTGACACTATAAAACTGTGCACCAAGAGAATAAATAACCAATATACAGCTATGGAAATTTTTTACGACAAAGGATATTTGAAAATAGCAGCAACAAGTAATAGGAAACAGCATTTGAAAAGAGTATCTTTCAGTATAGACATGAATTGGGATATCAGCTATTCTTGGGCATTCAGGGATCATCCAGGAAATTACTCTGAGTTCTGATGTATGTGCCTTCTGAAACAGGGCCCAGGTGCCATCCTTCCAACATTTAGACAAAATGTCCCCAAGGCAGTTACATAACAAAGTCCTTCCTACCAGACTAAAAGTCAGAACCAATACTGCAAAAGTTATCAAAACACCTGCAGAGTGGTAAATGGCCTGTACCTATGCCTCTGGCATGGTCCAATAGATGCAGGAAGGCTAGCTCCATGATGAACAATCTGCTACGTTTACCACTAACACCATCCACACTGAAGAGTGTGGTCAGTATAAACTAGCAGCTCAGGATCATATATAATATAAAACGGATGGTTTTAAGGTTATTACAGTTTTAGCTGTTTGTGCATTGACTTTAAAACCGCTTTGCTGACATATGGGGAGTGACGGCCTAGCGGTTAGAGCAGGCATTCCCAAACTCGGTCCTCAAGGCCCCCTGTCCTGCAGGTTTTAGAGGTTTCCTTGCTCCAGCACAGCTGATTTTAATTGAAAGCTGATTAACAGGATTTTGGTCTACTGCAATCATTATAACCNATGCCTGGGTTAGAGCATAGAGCTTGGAATCCTGAGATTCTGAGTTCAAGCCCCACTCCCACAAACTGCCACTCTGGGTCTCTGAGCAAGACCCTTAACCCGCAAACTGCTTCCCGGTCGCCCCACGATGGCAGCCCACTGCTCCCCAATGGGATGGGTTAAATGCAGAGGTACATTTTTTCCAATGTGAGATCACTAAAGGTCAATTCATATTATTAATATAATAGCCTTTGACTGTTGTTTTGAAATTGATACATATCATGTTATAAGATTACATTTCCATAGAGGTGGTAAAATAAATTAAACAACATACAGTTTAATTAAAGTTGTGAGAGGAATAGAGTTTCTCCTTCTTTACCATAAAAATTGCAATATTTTACTACCTGGTACTGTAGAGGCTTGACTCTAATGGCTGATCCATTCATGTTACAAGTAGAGGTGCTTGGAGCAACGGCCTAATCTACATTGCATAACAGTAACTAATTTCTATCCAGTCTCCAGACGTTTTTGCATTTACCAAACATTTTTTCCTTTGACTCAGCCTGTTTTGAGCTGCTGTTTCCGATTACTTAAATGATTTATCTCACCTTTACTGCTGAGTTATTTCAATATGTGACTGAACCTTCCCCAATCTGCTGTACCCCTCTGTCTGTGAACAGTAAGGAAATATTAAACTGGTAAAGGTGCTAACTCTTTCCTGCTGGCACTCCAGTCCAATCAGTGTAAGATAACCTAGGCAATCACTTATGTGTTGTGCTGACAGACAGAGGCAGTAAGGGGAGATGAGCTCTGTGTTTGCTGGGCATGAAGAGGAAAAGTGGACCAAAGAGCTGTCAACAGCCAGTGACCCCTGCCTCCCAGACATGAAATACCTATAAGCAGAGAGTAAGTCTTTTTTTATTCTATTTTTATTTTTTATTCACTTATTTAAAGTTATATTCACCATTGTTTACACACACATATATAAATATTTAAAAGTGTTTGTGTCCAACTTCTTGAATAATGAAAAAAAAATATTTCCAGGAAAGCCACAGAGTTGATTTATATTTATTTTTGTCACAAACACAGCAGTGATCTGTATAGATTAGGCAAAAAAAAAAAAATCTAAGTAATTCTCAAAAAAATAAACAGATAATTATTGCTATATTATCCAACTGTTAAATCCACCTTGCAGTTCATCAAAAATATTTTACTGAGATACGTACTTGTAGGTGACAAAAAGGGGGAAAAAAATATCCTTCTGTATTTAGATGAATGCAGCTATCAATAATGCATCAAACTGTTCCAGTACCGGATCTTATCAGGCTGCTCTTCTCTTTCAAAGCTCTACTGATTGCTGTGACCATCTGGAAGGAACACCGTGGCATCATCTATCAAAATAAATCTTTCTATGAACCCAATCTGGCTCTAATTGGTTAAACTCCTGAGTTTGTAATCTTAGTTAGACATTAAAGACTATTGTAAAATGTTTAAGCCTTTGTTTAATAGATAAACATTTTTGTTTATCTCTTTAATCCTTATAAATATGTTAAATGTATATATCTGGATTTATGCCAAGCTGTGAAAAATAAAGTTTAGTTTCAAAGGATAAGATTTTATAAGGACTTTATATTAATGGTACAATTTTTATTTAACACTTATCCTAGGTTATTAGCTGTATAGTTGTTTTTTTTCCAATATGACTTTATGAATTATTTGGAAAGAGCTACTCACCTTGGCTACTGCTGATGTAAAATGGCCCTCTGCCTGAGGCAGAGGTAACCATAGCAGACTTTGGAAAGTGAAATGCGATGCAGCAGGGCCTCTGGGCAGTTCTGAATCACAACTCTATAATGAGCTAGCTGAGCTCAGGCTGCATCAAAGATGCAAAACCTAAGTATCTATTTCCATACACATGTTCAAATGGAATAAAGACTGTAGCGCTACAGCAAAATTCTGAGAGCTTTCTAGCATGGCTTTTTGTTTGCATCACTTGAATCTGCTAACCTCTTTATTTTATTCATTGTCTTGCCTAATGGATCCTTGATATTGCAGAAGATAATTTAATTCAATTCAGTTTATTTATATAGCGCCAATTCACAACACTTCATCTCAAGGCACTTTACAGTTCACCAACAGTCAAATTGATTCAAAGTTTTCTATCTTTGACTCAAATGCAATCCCTCCTACTAAGCATGCTTGTAGCGACAGTGGAGAGGAAATACTCCCTTTTAACAGGAAGAAACCTCCAGCAGAACCAGGCTCATTGTGAGCGGCCATCTGCTGAGGCCAACTGGGGTTCAAGGAGACAGAAGCAGAGATACAAAAAGCAACTGTAAAAGGCGGCCCCGTCCAGGGAACACGAAAGAAGGCAGACAAGCTCCGAGCCAACTCCCATGTCATCCCATGAAGCATTTCGGTCGGTACCATAAAAGAACCGATGTTCGGTACCCAGCCCTACTGATAGCTGGATGCAAGTCCCTTAAGTAGACGCAGGTGGTTCAGACGAGTAGTAATGAGAATCCGGGCAGAGTTAGACAGGTGAATGCAATGAGCAGTAAAGCCAGCCATTAGCGCAAAGATCATAACAGCTGGTTTTGCAGCAGATGTTGCGAAGCCTCTTCCCAGAGGGCAGCAGGGAGAACAGTCCATGGTGTGGTTGTGAGGGGTCATTGATGATTTTACAGGCTCAGGACATGCAGCGCTGTCTTTAATGGAGGGAAAAAGAGCCCCGATGATCCTCTCTGCTGTTCTCACCACTTTTCTCGTGTTCCTCCAGTCTGAGGCGCTGCAGCCTCCACACCACACAGTTAGACAGCTGGTCAGAATACTCTCTATGGTGCTTCTGTAGAAGGTCGTTAGAATGGGCAGGGGCAGGTGGGCTCTTCTCATCCTCCGCAGGAAGTACAGTGAGGAGGTGTTCATAGTCCAGGTGAGGTTGTCTGTGATGGTGCACCCCCAGGAATTTGGTGCTGCTGACAACCTCTACAGCTGAGCTGTTGATGAAATGTGGAGCGTGGTTAGGTCAGTTCTTCCTGAAGTCGAAGAGGATCTCTTTCATCTTCTTCATGTTCAGGATCAGGCTGTTATCTCTGCACCAGTCCACCAGGTGCACCACCTCCTCTCTGTAGTCCTGGTTGTTGTAATCTCTATTAGGATCATCAGGGCTCCTCTTCCCTCCATGAAAGACATTTTATCCCTGCACTGCATGTCCCAAGCCCGCATCATCATCAATGACCCCTCACACCCCCACCATGGACTGTTCACCCTGTTGCCCTCTGGGAAGAGGCATATTTGCACCACATATATTTAATGCTGTGAACTTCCATATCAATGCGTTTTTGCACCATGATTTATTTTATTTCCCACAGTTTATTTGATCTCTGCTGAACTTTATGGAATGGAAATGTTATTTCACTGCCAAGTAAAAAAATAAATAAATATGTATATATATATATATATATACATAGCTATTGCACTGGGAATCAAATGTAAAAAAAAATGGTTATGGCACAAGAAAGCGAAGCACAAATTTTACATCCTCTGCTACCTCGCCTCGGTGAAGCTGCAAACTTCTTCTTGACTTCTTGGGTGAAGTTGGGAAAGATGTGTAATAACTTCTCCTTGTACAAAAGCTTCTTCTTCTGACCAGAGATGCAGAGGATGTGGTCCTTCACATTACTGTGGTGTATGCGGATGATGAAGAGTCTGGGCCTCTCTCCTGCACAGGGTTTTGGTGTCAGTGAGTGATGACCACGGTCCAGATGCGGTTGAAAAGATAGCTGCTTTGTTTTGTGCTTTTACTACAGGCATGTTTTAAGTAACAACAGCTTTGTGTAAACATAATATTTTCATCTCAACTAAACCAACCAACATCAAATACCTTTGAGAGGAATTTGTAGCGTAATTATCGGAATTATACACTATAATAAACTATTGAGTTAAAAGTTGCATTCAGACTTTGCAGCCTCGAATTTTCAACACCCAAAAGAACCAGCAGCAGACAGGAATCGACACTGCATTCAGGCTTTTGGAATTTCAGGAAATAGTGGTCTGGTTTGCCAGCGATCACAGATGCTTTAAAGAGGCTTGACATTGGAGGGTTTGGTTTGCTTGTATCACAGTCCTCCAGAAGCAGGTTTGTCTTTCAGTCGTTACATCTTAGGGTTGGGTCTGTTGCATCACCGTCATTCTAGGCAAAGAATAATGCAGATGTGCCTTTCTTTCCAAGGCACACACACCACAGCTGTTAAATCTTACTGTGTCTGTCTTAAAGGTACATGGACTAGTAATTTGGCCAGCAGCATAAAGGAATGTGCATCACAGTTATTTAGCTGTCTCACACTGTAGTAATATGGTCCAGCAGTGTTTGTATTGCAACATCTGTGTGTATGCCTCTCAGACTAAAATTGGCTCCACAGGAGAGGAGTCTGACACCTAAAAGAGTTAGCGTGCCTTTGCAGAGGTATTAACCCCTTTGGCCTTTCATGCATTGTTGCCTTGCAAGCTGGAATTAAAATTGATTACTTGCAATATTTTATTTACAACCCATGCATGCAATTTTGAAGATGTACTTTTTTTGTGAAGAAAGCAAAAAAAAGGGCAAAATAGTATAAAATCTGTGCTCACACAATCTAGAAGCTGTACTTGTGCTACCTCTATCCCTGCCTCATTATTAAGGGTAGTGTTTTAATTTCGTAATTTTGATTTTTCTCAGAATACAGTAGTCAACAATAGGTATCAGAACAGCTGATCCATTTATAATCAACAAATATGTTACCTAAACTTTAAATAGAATAGATAGAAGTGTGTCTCTATTAGCTTGTTTATAACAAATATAAGATTCAAAACATTTTATCATCACTGTTTAGAGTGTCTGGGTCAGTAAAGTTTATTTGGTCTAATAATATCCTCTAAATATTTTAAGCTCATTAATTATTTTCTCTAAAAGCTGGTTTTCTTTGTTTCTAAAGGACCGATCCAGCGATTCCTCCTCTGAACTTCAGCTCCCGAGCTGCGATCTGACTCAGAAAGCATGGGACACTCCTCTGGTCATCGTAACCCTCCTTTCTTCCTTTTCGTCCTCCTCCTGTGCCACCACTGCATATCCATCAGTCCTCAGGTCCTGGATCAAAGATCTTCTCCTGACCAAACTCTGCCATCTACAAACAACACAGTGTCTGAAAAAAAGAAATGTGCAGGTGTTGTAGTGTGTAAGCCTGGTATTCTGCTTCCAGTGTGGCTGCCTCTCAACCCTCCAGTTGGGGAACAAGCAGGAAGAGCAATTGTTTACTTCCTCTCTCTCATGTACATATTCCTTGGAGTGTCCATCATTGCTGACCGCTTCATGGCATCTATAGAAGTCATTACATCTCAGGTATCATTGCTTTTTATTTTGAGAACCTGTTAGAGTCATTCATATACTGAAATTGTGTCACGTCTGTTTCAGATAAATAGACATTGTTTCATTGCTCCCCTACAGATTTACTTTTTTTTAACACAAAAATATGTTTCAGATAATCTAAGAAGTTATTTTATTTTAGACTACATTAATTTTAACTAGAAGCAGGTGGCAGTTTAAATAATGTGACTCACTGAACCAAAGCAAGAGCCATTTTCCACATCAAGGGAAAATATAGTATTTAAACTAAAGTGGTTCATAAATCGTAAATTAATAGTGGTCAAGCTATCTTTTTAAACACATAGTTGATTTTATTTGCCACACAGTGGCCTTATTGTGTTTTTTTTATTTTCTAGATAAAAAATTCCAATAAATAGAATAAGTCCGAGCCCACAGAGTAGCCCACACCTGTTTATTACAGTAGGAAACAGGTTACCCACCAGCAGCAGCCCCGTCCCTTCTTTCTTTCTATATAATGATCACTATAAAATAAAAAGGGTCTGTAGTTATTTGTATGGGATCTTGGACATTTGAAGAAAAACACTGAGTCACCTGCACCAGCCTTTATTAAAATCTGTGTAATTTCAGTACAATTTTTATAGTCAGATTGAACTACAGCCTTTAAAAGACATCTATAAATCTGGATCAGCCTGAAGCAGAGCAGCACCAAACATACATGTTTTATTGTCATCACATGTTTACATGGTTGAAAAATTCTCAGGGTCAGCAAGAAAATTAATCTGTCCTTTAAAAAGTTGTAGTGAAGCCTAATGGGATTATATATTTTAAATCAAAAACCTTCTATTTTCTTCTCATATGTACATTGATATAGCTTTTATTTTAAATATGCTGTTATTATTTTGAGAGAATGATTTTGAATGCAAAGTTTAAATTTAATATACATTTAACTTTTCACGTTTTGATCATTGTTTGTTGAAACTTGAAATTACAATAAACATTATATTGAAAATGTAGCCTTAAGGATGCTATTAGTACATCTTTATAGCAGTTTTAAAGCTTGCATATTTTTTATTTTTTTGGGGGCGGGGGTGTTTTTGGGGTTTTGTTCTACACAAACATACTCCACAGCAGGCACTCTCTCAGCATTACCCTTAATTCCTCACCGCTCACCGAGCGCTGCACTGTGGCAGCCCACTGGTCCCCAAAGGGGATGGGTTAAATGCAGAGAGTTCATTTCTCCATTGTGAGATCAATAAAGTTCAATTTCTATCTTTTCTACTTGTGAAAGCAAATCTGTTGGGCTATTGTTTAGTTTCAGGGCCTTATTATTATCCAGGTTTAATAGTATCTAACTATTGTGGTTTTTATCACTACATTAGAATAAAGGCACATAGGGCAGTTTAGATGAGAGGTTAAATGGCCCGTTTGGCCATTTCCCGAATTTGGAAGTTAGTGTCAGCTTTGTGTAGTGTGCTTATGTTTTCATTGTCATTGGTGTGATAGATTTATGTTTTGTACTTTTTTTTTATATTGAGGTTCTGATTTGGGATTGTTTTTATTGAGGTGCTCAGGCTTTATGTTTGGGCTGGAAACAGTCAACTCAGAAAACCCTTTTAGTCAACTGCAGCTCAAAGGTTAGTCATCGGGTTCCTTAACCGGTTTGCCACCAAATAATGTAAGATAAGGTATCTCAGTGCAGTTTGTGCTAGTGCCATATACTGTAGAGGGTTTTACTCAGTGGGAGCAACAGTCAAGGAAGTACTCGATCAGCCAGCAAAAACCACAAAATCACCTCCAGAGAAGGGTGAGACAAAGCATGTCCTTTCTGTCATTAAGCATCGTTTTACCAAAAAGAATAGGAAGAAAGTTTGTTCTGTGAAAGACATCTCATAAAAAAAATCAGGAGCTAAAATAGGATGCAAAGTCTGGATCTAAAAAAACAAGAGGAGCCCTTCATAGAGGCCAGACTATTGACAGGTCTATGAATGGAGGATGGTGTTGAGAGGTTTGGAGCCACATTCACCATATCCCTCTCCAGTCTTACATTGTCCACTGAACGAGGGAGGGGACACAACAAAATAAGTGCATGGTTAACCAAGCTTGATGTAGAACCAATATTTCCAACATGCTAACAGAAGATACCTTGGAACTGGGAACTTTTGCTACTCACACAATGCTGAGTAGCTGTTCCAAAGTCTACAACGTCATGAATCCCAATGATGGATCTATGCTAGGGACAAAGATTAAGGTTTTGGATACACTCATGTATAAAGGCTATGCTTATGTTCCCTCCCCTGCTCTATTAGATGGTTATAATAATGTTGTTCTAGTGGAATGGATCAAGTATTGGTTCCGCCCAGAATTTCTCAATTGTTAGATGAAGGAAAAACTTAAGAACAGGGGAAAACATAAAAAAATCTGAGAATTACACAAATGTTAAATTCCCCAACTTTGTTTCAGAAAACAAGACATCTTAATATTGTAGGTAGGCATCTGAGAAGGAAATGGGTAAAGTTAAGATTTTCTTAAGAATAGTCGGTCAGAGGTTTAGGCCAAAGGCAAAGAAGTATTACACTTTAATACTAAATTGGCTTGATTTTGCTCTATGATCTTGTATATGAACATAATAATGACCAGATTTTTTATTTCATTTAAATGAAACGCTACGACCAAATCAGGAGAAGGAGGTGACTATCACCCAACCTAATGGAGAAACAACTGTAAAAACCGTACGGATCTGGAATGAAACTGTGTCCAACCTGACACTTATGGCATTGGGTTCTTCTGCACCAGAGATCCTGCTCTCTGTCATCGAGGTACTTTATTTCATAAACACAAGAAAATACTAATGTCTTTTGTTGTGTAAGTGCCCATTAAGCCTTAATAGATTAAAAAATGCAAATAAAAGTGACCCTTAGTGGTGAACTAAATATGAGTCATATTTACCCTACCCTGATGGTAAAAGTCTATTCCTGCTTCCCTTATACAGGTGTGTGGACACAACTTCAATGCTGGGGAGCTTGGCCCAGGCACCATAGTGGGCAGTGCGGCCTTTAATATGCTTGTGATAATTGGTCTGTGTGTGTCAGTAATTCCTGATGGTCAGTCTCGCAAGATCAAACACCTGCGAGTGTTTTTTATCACAGCTTTCTGGAGTATCTTTGCCTACATTTGGCTGTACCTCATCTTGGCTGTCATCTCCCCAGGGATTGTTGAGGTAAGTCTCTAGCATAACCATCACACTGATTCAAAGGCTCTTTTAGTTTGATGAAAGAGAAAATTATGTTATTACATTCATAGATCATTTGATCAGCAGTCCAGGGCTGCTAAAGATTTACTGTCGTACATGTCTTAAAATGATGTAACATGAAAGCCTTAGCTGTGGAGCTGGTTGTCAGTTTCCGTTTGTATCTCAGCTTTTTTTTTTCTCTCTGCTTCTGTCTCCTTGAACCCCAGTCGGCCTCAGCAGATGGCTGCTCACACTGAGCCTGGTTCTGCTGGAGGTTTCTTCCAGTTTGAAAGGGAGTTTTCCTCTCCACTGTTGCTACATGCATGCTTGGTGTGAGGGATTGCTGAAGAGTCAATGAGGCGATGCAATCAACGGGCTTTCTTTAGAGAAAAAATTTGAACCAATCGGACTGGATGATCTGGTTTAATTGTCTCTGGAAAGTTACCTGAGATGACTTGATGTGAATTGGAGCTATATAAAAAAACTGAATTTAATTGAGTTTCACATACCACACCACATTATAGACATGTAATTCACTTCAGAATCCTATGGTCAAAAGTAGAGGTAAGAAATTCAGGATAAACGATAAAGCCAGGCTTTACTTAGCAAAATCAGTGCATCCTGGCATTATGTTTCACAAAGGCTAAGCCAGGCTCAAAAGGTTCAAGAGAGCATGAGGCTGATGACAAATTCATGATTTGTCAAACTAGTTAAGTAGTATATTTTTCATTTTCAACATGACAGATGTTAACATTGATAGACTAATATTAATTTTTGTGGTGGAATTTAGACCTTCTTTGGTGTATTTCTTTAAATTATGGACTTTGGGTGTGACTTGGGATTGTTTCCCGGTTCCATTATTCGTCAATGAGCAGATATGATAAACTTGATTAATCACCTTTATTTTGCTGCACACCATGTTAATGCTCACACAGACCTGTGATTGGACCAAAGAGAACCTGAGAGAAAAAGAACATTAAATTGAATGTACATTAAACACACACATATGTATATATATATATATATATATATAGATATATATATATATATATATATATATATATATAGATATATCTCCTATTTGGATGGAAATAAGGCTAATGTCTGTGCAGTCTAGTGCATCAAGAATATTTGGGAATCGTGTCAAAAAATGCTTTTTTTATGTGTAGCCTCATTCATGTAACATGTCATAATGTTGAATCCCTTCTTGATGTATTTCAATCTTCTCTGGCCAGGGAAGGGTATGATGATTCAACATCTATTACTGCATACAGAAACATATAACTAGCAACCAAGTAAGAAAGGACGAGGCTGACATAACAAACTTATTGCTTTAAATACGTACAACAAAGGTTGTGAATTGTAATCAGGTAGAGGAGGAAGATAATAGAAACAAATGAATGCAAAATTAGACTTCGAGTCGTTTGTTATTGATTCATCAAAGCTTAAGTCACTGTAGTGCTTGAGGAGCGCTGAGCTTAATAATAAAAATAATAATATTAATTGAACTTTATTGGTCTCACATTGGAGAAATTTTCCCCTGTAATTAACCCATCCCCTTGGGAAGCAGTGAGCTGCCATTGTGTGGTGCCCGGGGAGCAGTGTGAGGTTGAGGGTCTTGCTCAGGGACCCAGAGTGGAGGCTGTGGGGACTGAATTGGGTACTTGCACCCTTCTCAAACAGGCTGATTGCATCAAATCATTGACTCTACAGCAATCCCCAAATCAAGCATGCTTGTAGTGACAGTGGAGAGGAAAACTCCCTTTGAAGAGGAAAAAACCTCCAGTAGAACCAGGCTCAGTGTGAGCAGCCATCTGCTGAGGCCGACTGGGATTCAAGGAGACAGAAGCAGACATAGAAAAAGAAGCGAAGATACAAAAGGCAACTGTCATCCAGCTTCATAGGCGGCCCCGTCCAGGAAAGGAGATCAAAATGGGCTATATTCCTTATGGTTGACAAGAACTATAATCTCAAATTAGCCTTAACTAGATTTACAGAAGGACAAAAGATGATGAAATGGTGTTGAGGAAATTATCCACTTGGGAAAATCTATTATTTGATTTTACTGAAAAAGCTGAACATTCCAACACTGGTGTTAAAAGCTAACACTTTTCTTGATGTGAAAAATGACTACTATCAGATGTACACAATATCTTACAAAAAATATATAAAAATTATAAAAATTGAAATTTTGTCTTTCACCAGGTTTGGGAAGCTGCAGTAACACTGCTGTATTTCCCGATCTGTGTCCTCTTGGCTTGGATCGCTGACCGTC